ACTTTTGTAGCGTCAATCAAACTTAGTACATCTACGAGTAATTACTTGTAAAAAATAAATTAAGTTATTACAAATTTTCAAGATACTCCATCTGTTTTAGATACTAGGTACCTATGTATATCTTTTTTAGGTACGAGCAAGGTGGACCTATAAAGCAGGAAGACGCTAGATGCAGGCCGCTACCAACCGTGTGATGTGGAAGTCATTGCGGCCTATGTTTAGCAATCGCGTGGAAGTCCTGTGGCTGAAATGATGATGATGAGCAAAAGTGATAGGCTGCATCATCTACGCGTGGTTTATTAATATACAACGAAGAAGCCCTTGGCCTGCATATCGGCAGATGGAAAGTGATAATCAGGCCGAAGGTGGAGCTTCTATCTTCAGCCCAAGTGGCCATCTTCACACATCATCATCATCATCATTTCAGCCATAGGACGTCTACGTCTACTGAACATAGGCCTCCCCTAATACTTTCCACGTTGATCGATTGGTAGCGGCCTGCGTCCAGCGCTTCCCTGCTACCTTTACGATGTCGTCGATCGACGCTCTTGGCATGCTCTCCATGTTTTTCATATTTGCAGCAATAAGCCTCTTTGCAGTTGTTGTCACCCTGGTACTTATAGGTACCAGAAACTATAGGTAAGTGTGTCGAAGAAATCGACAAGATTTGGGTGGGGAAATAGATTATTAATTTGTCGGTCGTTGCTAAGAAGGCACAATAACGGTTGTTCATAAGGTTTCATAACCTGTCCTGACTTTGTTACACAAATTATTTATTAAATAAAAGAGTATTTATTAAACGCCATAAAAGTGTTTTATTTCTACGTAATCTTACCAACAAAGCAATCTACCTCAAACAGTAAAATTTCTTCAAGAGACTGAATTTGAAGTTTAAAAAACGAGTAGACCTTAAGTCCCTAACGTTAGCGAAATTGTACATAAAATTAATGTAAGTTGATAAATGATGCCCACAGTAGGACCATTATCATGGTTTCTTCTACCAATCCACCAGCCACCATCTTCTGAAACAAATCTAATTTAAAGTTATTCAGAAATCAAAGCACTTCATGAGGCTCAAGACTAGTGTAGCAATTTTTCCACGACGATATTTTAGAGACTATCTTATTTTCGTAACAAAACAAAATATTTGTTTTAGATTCAGTGTACGATTTCAAGATATATTTTATCTAATAAATTATACAAACAAATGGCATTCATTTATTAAACTATAAAAGGGAATATTATCAGATACAATCATAACTTTAGTTTAGTTAGCCATTACGCATCTTTGATTTTAGTGTAGACTCGTAGTTACTTAAAAATGTCGGAAGACGAAAGTACACGTGCTAAAGTTGGCCACACTCGTGTGCAGTGGTTTTATGCAGCTTTTGGTAAATAATTTAAATCTTATTTGCAAAGAGTGAACTAAAGAGTAAAATAGAGCAGGGTCCTGCAGTGAAGACTTTGTAACTTTATAATAATGGTGATTTTAACTTTTAATAACAATAACAGGTCGTCGGCCCACCTTGTGGGTGGACGTCTCACGCTGCGTTTTCCATTCCAGAACCTTGCTGCCCTTTCGGCCGTCAGTTCTGCGTACTATGTGCCCTGCCCACTGCCACTTCAGCTTGCTAATCCGTTGGGCTATGACAGCGACTTTAGTTCGTTTACGGATCTCCTCATTTCTGATTCGATCTCGTAAAGAAACACCGAGCATAGCCCTCTCCATAGCACACTGTGCAACTTTGAGCTTCTGTATAAGGCCAATAGTGAGAGGCCACGTTTCCGAGCCATAAGTCATCACAGGTAACACACATTGGTTGTAGACTTTCATCTACAAAGGTAGCAGGAAGGCGCTGGATGAAGGCCGCTACCAACCGTGCGATGTGGAAGTCATTGGGGGAGGCCTATGTTCAGCAGTAGACGTCCCGTGGCCGAAATGATGAACAATAACAAGTACCAGGTAGCCAGAAGTAATGATTTGGTGATGGGTTTCCTTGCAGCGTCCACCACATTCATGACGTACGGGCTGCAGGCTGGATGGATATCCCCCATGACAAAGGTGCTGCAGTCCGAAGACTCTCCAACTGGGCCGCTGACGGACACTCAAATTTCCTGGGTTGGCAGTATCCTCCCGCTAACAGCAACGTTTTGTGTCGCTCTGTACGCGTACATAGCAGATGCTTACGGGAGAAAATTTGGAGTCATAGCCATTGCTGCACCTCAAGCGGTAAGATAAAGAGTAGCTAAATGCTTTGCGCTTGAAAGATAATCCCAAATACTGAAGTATCAAAACTAGAATTTATTGTCATACGTTTGAACGCTTTTTTTCACCGAGCTAATAGTGATATGGGGTCCAAAATTGAAGTAATTTTTGTTACTTTGTAGTAGGTACAATAGGTACTTTTGTGCATCTGACATCAGAAAACAAGAACCGAAACGTTGAAGCATGTTTAAATTTAAAAAAGATCTTTAACTTCTCATTTATTAAACAAATCTATGTTCAGCAGTGGACGTCCTGTGGCTGAAATCATGATTTTATCAACAAGCCCAAATCTTTAAGTTTGCTTGCTTGGCAAAACGTAACTTGGTTTCTCGCGATACCGGTGCCTAACTAGTGCGAGAACCGCTACCAACACTTCTTCACAATCCACCATAGCATGCAATTAGCTTGAGACTGTCATTCCGTTTTTTGTAAATCCTTTTTGCATAAATAAAGATTTATTTACTTCCTTAACTTTGACAGATATGCTGGGCAATAAAACTGACAGCGACCAACCCGACAATACTCATCATAGCCAGGGTCATGGCAGGCATACCCGCTGGGGGATGCTTCAACCTAATCCCTATGTACGTGAAGGAGATTAGCCAAGATGACATCAGAGGGTCCGTGGTCTCCATGTCGTTATTGATGCAGAACTTTGGACTGTTAATCATTTACGCCATGGGAAGCTACTTGGGATATTACACAGTGGTGTATATATTGATTGGCATACCGATTGTGACAGTGGTGGTGATGCTGTTTGCCCCGGAATCGCCTGCTTTTTTGGTTAAGCAGGAACGGTTTGAGGTGAGATATAAATACAAAGAGTTGTTTTTGTCTTTGAAATTGCCAAAACCGAAAAGTGTGACCTAATATTAGAATTTCGATTTTCAGGAAGCTGCTCAGACAGTGGCAAGACTCAGAGGCTTGGACGTTGATAGCAAAGTTGTCAAAAATGAAATGGATTATATGAAGAATGAGGAGAAACAATATAGTTCTCTACCTACAGTAACATTTTTGAATATTTGTAAGTATTCATTTTGTTCTATTTAGAAAACCAAGAGTGCACAATCAACCTTTTTTTTTTTTTTTTTTAAAGATTATTAGTAATTTGTTATTACACAAATTACTAATACCCCCGTTAGCCCCTCGTACTAAGCTAAATATGCTTGTGTCACGAGTGAGCTCACCACAATAGTCGAGCGGCGGCGGGGACCGAACCCGCGTTCCCCGGATCACGAGTCGGCCAGTCCGACCCCTTCACCGTTTGGCTTTTGTCCCCATAGTAGTAATAATGTTATAAGTTCGTAAAAACAGGAGGTTTTTGCTATTATCTGTTCTGCAGTTGTTCCAAAGGAGTTTAAATATCATTAAAACACCAAGGTTTTGCTGACGACATATTCATTTCTTAATAATGACCCTTGTGACTTTATCATTTTTGTCGATTTAGGTTCATTAGCAATATTATAAATAGCAAAATCTTACAAAACATTTTCTCGTGTTCCAGTCAAGAACAAGGCATGGCGTCGCGGCTTCTTCCTCGTCTTGGCTATACTATCAGCTCAGGCATTCAACGGCAACTTCGCCATCCTGACGTACGCATGGACCATCATGTCAGAGTCAGGAGTGACAGCCAACCCGGAGCTGACGTCACTGGTCGTGCCCATGCTGATGATTTGCGGATCCACGGTGTCGATGATGTGTGTGGAGAGGTTTGGGAGAAAGGTAGGCATTCTTTTCTAAATCATCATCAGACGATTTAGACTTCACTGCAAGATAACGACCCGATCCTAAGACCAGAGGCAAAAAAGGCTACTTATAAGATGGGGTTAATGAAATAGTAGGTGATGGTAAGCGTTCACCGTCTATTGCTATTCACAATGCAAGAAAAGTTGTCTTTGTGCTGCCAGAATTTGGTAGGTATAGTATAAGATCCCGCTATACAACGACCTTCACCGAGATGCTTATTTGATGAAACATATTTTATATTCAATTTAACATGTCAATAATTATATTGCATATGGGTTGCCTAATAAATTTCAGTCCAGGATATGATTAATTAATAATTTTAAAAATATTTTCTTTTAAATATTTCATCGGTTTGACTATTAAACAAATTCCATACCAATCGAAAGTATGAAGCCCCTAGAATATGCAAACGTTAGGTTGCCTATTCTTTTCCAGTCATAACCCTCGGGTTGCCAGGTATAAACAGGTAAATTGATAGTGCAATTTGCACCGGTCTGATAATTTAATCAAATTTAAATGAAAATAAAGATTATTTCATTATGAACACGGTGGTATAGGGTTGCCTGCGAAAAATCAGTCCTGAATGACGGTTGTCGAATTTTGTAAAGTGAAATTAAAACTGAAAGGTGACATTTTTCGAGTAGTTGGCAACATTTGGGAAAGACGAGTTGTATGAGGCGTTTGTGTGTCTTGTCAAGAGGTGTCGCTTGGGTGAAGAAATTTCTCCAGTGTTGCCATGCTTTGGGAGATTTGGTCCAAAAATGTCGAAAGTGGAAATAACGACTTCCGGTCAAAAATTTGGATGACGCCTCCTGCAAATAGGTCAAACTAATGACATTTGACTATTTTTATCTCGATCACCTGGCAACACTGGCAGTTACGGGGCCACAAAATTTTGGGACTTGGGTGGTTTTAAGGACTTGTTTCACGGGATTGGTTTAAGTTAGAAAAAAAGTAAAAATGGGGTTCGGCGCGGAAAATGGTCCAGATTAAGCGAAAAATGCAAAATTTGGAAATCCAAGATGGCCGCCAAGCTGTCTCCCATTTTCGTAATGGAACTAAATTCTCCATACAAATTGTATGCAGGGGGGCTTAGTTATCGTAGAAAAAGGCGAGGCCGAAGGCCGAGCGATAGTTTTAAGCCCAAGAGTCACCATAGATTCATTTTTGATGCGTCAAAAAAGGATTCTACATTGCACATGGAAATGCAAATAAACAAAAACTTTTGAATTTAATCATTTTCTTTTATTTATGAACACACATAATAAACACCAAAAGCGTGTCCACAACAGGGCACGACATTTTTCGTCAATCGTAGTAATCGTACCGTAGTGATCATCAGCTATCTAAATAATGACACTTGTTGCTAATGCCCAACTTATTTGAAAAGTGCATATTATTTATTACTCTTATTCCTTGATATTTATTACATGCGAAGTTGGTCAAGCTAAATAATTCGAATCCTCGTTCCAATTTACAGAAGCTCCTGACCGTCACCTACTCCGTAACCGTAGTCGCAATGATCACCCTTGCCACCACGCAGCTTCTCCGCTCCCAGGGTTGGATTCTACCCTCTTGGCTGCCAGTGATAGCCATAGCAGCTTCAGTCTGGGCATACGCTGCAGGTGTCACTCCGATGGTCTACGTAATCATGTCAGAGATGTTTAGCTTTCAGGTGAGTCATAGTCAAAAGTTATGAATTATTATCCAATCTAGCTTTGCATTTGCTACTTCAATTTTTGCTCCCATCTAATAAGCAGCGATGTGGACATGCGTCTCGAGTGATTGCTATAAACATTCCTTAAAAGGAACAACAATTTACTAACTGAAACCTCAGTTGCTCAAGTCTGCGAGTACTAAACTATTTTTCTGGATATCCAAGAGCTTTTCCCCCATTGTTTGCCAACGCAAATTCAACCATTCAAGTTTAACCTAATGTTGAGTTGGAATGAGATTTATTTCACAATGTATCTAAATGGACTTCTAACTAAACGTCATGCAGGCCTTTCGTAACGTTCACTAAAGCAGTTAACACAAGGAACTTCTCCGTTTATTCCAGGTGCGAGCAAAGCTCATCGGCCTGTTGGTGACGTACGGCTGGTTCATATCCTCAACCCAAGTATCCATCTTCACGCCCATCGCAAATTCTTTCGGCATGTACACCCTTTTCTACATGTTCGCGGCCGTCAACCTTATAGGAGCTGTTCTGACCTGTGCGGTCATTCCAGAGACAAAGGGTAGGAGCATAGAGCAGATAGAGCAAATCTTGACGGCTAAATAGACTGGCTAGATGAAATAATTGGATAAAGTTTTGTGACCATGGCCTTTGGATGGTTTAATAGATAATTCACTGATAGTCTGATAGCCAATGGCAAGATCATTGTGAATGCTCAACAAGTGATTTGGTTTATGATGATTAAGGATGTTTTCATCTTCAACATCATAACGACAATGCTGTCAATTGTGAAAATCATGAAAGTAGGAAGTAGGAAAGGGTGTGAGGGGAAAGTAAAATTTTCTAGTTCAATTTAACATAGGTAATATTAATTCATTAGAAGCTTAAGAGCGTAAAATACCTAGTTAATCATTCCAGTTTAGCAAATATACAATTAGATACAGAATCGATCTCATTTACTCATGCATACTACTTACTCGAAGTTAAATACCTAATGATTTATTTATTTTATGTAATTCTAGCTACATTACTTACTTATTGTATTACTTTGTATATTTTTGAGAACTCAGTGAAAAAATTAAGTCACTACTAATGATACAAAAGTAATGTCTTGTAAAAAAATAGAAACATTTGATAAATAAAAACTTAGCACAGCTTACTCGTACTATGTCTTTTAACTAACCTGCCACTCTATTACCAGTTATTTCTCTGGGTATACACTAGTTGCTCAAAAAAAATTTTCAGGCGTGATAACGTAAGAAAGTGTATATTATGTCAACGTGAAATTGTGAACTCTGTCAGTTTATAATATAACGCGTTAGATTGTAAACTAACAGTGGGTTAGGTTAGGTTAGATTGTAATTTAACTACGTCAGATTATAATCTGACGGAATTCACAATTTTACGGTGACATATACATGGGTAGTATCACTGAATATGGCTGGAAAACATGATTATTACATATTCATGCTAAAACCAATAATTTATCTATTTTACGTATGTAAGTGACCAGCGACTCCTTATTTACTTCAACCTTCTTATGTTTTCTTTTGTAATTCCTTTTGTGAAGCAATAAATTATTTTTATTATTATTATTAAAGGGAGTCTATGGAAATAACCTGTACCTATCCTATTAAAATAGCATACTCACTCAGAAGCTATTGGATGTAGTATATTTACAAATCTTCCAAATTACGCAATACCAAAAGTAAGAAACTTAGGTACACAAAATATTTCTTCTCTATTCAACGCTGTGCATCGTTTGTGAATATGGACGTAAGTCAGTACAATTTTAACAATGTTATTACGTGTTTATTGATTCTGACTGTCCTCTCCATATTTATTTGGATCCTTCTGTGACAGATCGAAATTCACACTTGTTCTAAATAAAACCCTGATCTAATATTACGACTATTTATAATATAAAAATCCTCTCTCGTACATGCCCTGTATCTCTTCAAGCCTAATCCCTTTGGTTTCCTTCGCCGTCAAGAAGGTCAGCACAGTAGCTGCCGCAGATATGACACAGAACATCAGGAATGTTCCGTCAAGACCCAGGTGGTCCACAAGAAGACTGAATATTGAGAGCAAAGCGAAGTTGCTGAAGCAAGTGCTGCTCATGACGATGGAGGAGGCTAAGCTCTTCACCTGGAATTAGAAGAATTTGAAATTTGGCATAGAGATAGTTTGAGTCCCGGGAAAGGACATAGGATAGTTTTTATCTCGGTTTTTGAAACAGGGACGCGCGCGATAAAGTTTTTCTGTGACAGACAAAATTCTACGCGGGCGAAGCCGCAAAATTACGAGTTACATAGTTTTATCAATATGTTACTCTGTATTGGTTAACTTATTCCTAGCCTGGAAGCAGAACAAATTTATTGTAACTTAACTTATTTAAGAATAAGAATAAGGACCGATTTTCAGCGTAAGAGAAGCAATCAAGCTCTTCCAAGTCTGTCTAGGCTCCGTGGACTGCATGAAAGGCGGCATCATTGTACCCATCAAACGAGTAGAAATCCACCCCTCCTACGAATTCGGGAAGCCGTCATTTGACCTGGCCCTCATCAAGCTGGCTCGACCTGTCAACAATACAGATTATATCAAGCCCATCCAGCTGTCAAAGATTAAACAACGCGTCGTCAGCGCAAAGTTCATGACTACTTACTGGCCGAGGTTGATTGTAAGTAAGATTTGTTTATTTGAAGTTTCTGATTCTCCTCAATATTCTCCTTTCCTATCTTTTGGATTCCCCAGATTCCTCCAGATGTATAATTCATAAATGAAAAACCAGTCAAAGTTTACGTCTTCGTCGTGTATTTTTCCAAATCATCACGTCACTTTTTTGTCATGTCGCGTGTGTAGAAAACCATTCCGATCCGAAAAGAGGTAATGCTGACGCTGAAGCAATTTGTTTGGACATCTTCAGCTAGGCTATGTTTACCTAAAGTCGCATTCAAAAACTTTGTTGTATCATCTTCTTCGTCGCTACACTCTTGGCAGAGCGGTCGTGGTTGTCACACCTGCTTTGGTAGCAAGCTTCACAATCCGTCGCCATTCCTCCGCATTGCAGGCTCTCTTATGCACTCGTGGGATAACCCCATTGTTTTACCATATACTTATTTACTATACGTACTTATCCAATGTCAATGACATTATTAATCATTTACTAAAGATTAGTATTACATTATTTAGGTTTACGGCAGCCATGTCAACTTATTTGAACAACCATGATTGTTTAATAAAAGATTTAGATACTGTTGAATATTATAAACCAGCGATAACGTAACGATCACATGATGACACATGGAGAAGCTATAAGCCCCGTTTCCATGAAAACGTAGCGGAGCGGAGAAGAGCGGAGAAGTGACGGACGGACGATTTTTTCTGTATAGTCTGGTCCGCGAGCACGTAGAATTTTGTCCAATGACCCCAAGCTACCCATCCTTATCGCTCGCGCGTAACGTAATTATGTTGCTGTCGCGTTCGCACACTCACTGCGGGCGCCCGTCGCACAGTCGCGACAGCAATATAATTACGCGCGAGCGATAAGGATGGGTAGCTTGGGGTCATTGGACAAAATTCTACGTGCTCACAGACCGGGCTTTAGAACTTAACAGCGGCGGCGGCGCGGCGCTGAGCGTAGCTGTGCGAAGCGGAGAAGAGATGTAATAATTTTAACAAAAAAATTCAAACCGACTCCAAAAAACCTGCACTAAACAGTAGAAAATAATTACATTATTCATTTATTAGGACACATGTATGCCATGATTGATATTCTCGGAGTCGGTGCCAGCCTGCTCAGTGCCAAGCTCTAGAAATTTTCTAAATTTACTGGCTGGTTTTTTGGAGTCGGTTTTAATTTTTTTGTTAAAATTAATTTATTTTATGCTTTTTAGTTGATTAGTCCTTGTTATTCTATGTTTAATGAAATTGAGATAGTAGATTTTCATTTTAAGTGTAAATAATCTTCCCTACAAAATACAGGCTACCTACTTTAAATATGGGCAACTAAAAAGTACCATCTAACTCCCAACTTACGAAGTTTGACAGTTTTGAAGTTTATGAAGTTTGAAGTAATACAATAAGGCTGTTATCACACTGCGCCGCGCTCCGCCGCGGTACGCGGGACGACAGATTTAATCATTGTATGCAAATACCTCAGTTTGTATAGAAAACACGCGCGGCACAACACACTGACAACGCGTCTGCGCGCGGGATTTTTTATATGAAATCACGCGCTCCGCGGCGGAGCGCGGCGCAGTGTGATAACCACCTAACTGTATGTACCTACATACGTGCCTAAAATATTTAAAGAATTATTTTCCAACTCCTAAGCGTTAAAGAGTTCTACCTTCCATCATCACCTCTTCATCATTAGATGATGACTACCAGACGCATATACTTGAATAACTTTAGAATAATTATGAAAAACGTATTACGTGCCTATAAAATTTGAGGTTTTCCCTCGATTTCCCTAGAATCCCATCATCAGATCCTGACTTGGTGACAACCTGTGAGGCATACCCTTACAAACAAAAAAAAATTTTGAAATCGGTCTAAGCGTCTTCGAGTAATCGGGGAACATACATAAAAAATAAAATATTTCGACGAATTGAGTAACTCCTCCTTTTTTTGAAGTCGGTTAAAAATCCGGGACTATTCCCACCTCTCGTTCCCACCGTTGCAACTCCTGTGTAGCCAGGATCTACAGCTTGACCGCCAATAAAAACCCAAGTGAAGGTTAATCCAAACACTTTTCCGCTCCGCCTTGGTGGAAACCTGGGCTAACGGCTATAAAAACAATGGAATATGCCATACAATACGGCATTGCAGGAAAGACGTCATCGCGGTAAGTAAATACTTACGTAGAGCTTAAAAACCGCGGAAGTGGCATAAAGATTGGTCATACTAAGGTATGTAGTAGTATTTTTAATTTATAAAATGCGATTCGAGCCCATTGGAGTATCTAGGTTTGTTTCTCATGGGGGGGGGCGGGGGGGGGCTAGCCCCTGATATGCCATAATATCACGGGGATTAGTATCATAGCTCACAAGAGTTAGTACAGTCGACAGCACATCAACCTATACATTTTGTTGCAAAATAGCCTGTATCACAACGAGATAAGACGCCACTGTGTTTAGGTTGATGTGCTGTCGTCCGTACTATTAATAATCATCTTCAAATCAGTTGCCCAACATCCTGGGGTTCGGGCCTACCACCTTTTATGGAATAGTTCCTTGTAGGTACTCTTCCCACTGATGTTAACCCACTTGTTGCTATCGTACTTTTAAAAGGACACCGCATAAATAAAATTATTATAAACAATGAGGGTACATAGAAATAAAATTTGTATGTTCATTCGATACGTGTTGAGTGTACAAAGCGCACACTTAGTTCATCGTTCGTGTAATTCGTTATGTAATATAATATTTCTTTATTTATAAATAACTGTTTACTATGGAGAAATTCAGGTATGTTTATTTAATTATACAAGCATGCTTTATTCGTTTATTTCGTTTAAAACTAAGTAGAAAAACAATATGATTTTCAAATGAAATTATTATTTTACTTCAATTATTGTAAAATACTTGCATTTTGTGCAGTTTTAATTGCCGTTCTTTTAAACGACCAATAGCAAATTGTACTACTATCGTACGTATTATTTTTGATCGCGAGATAAGGCAAGAAATCGGCCTTTATCATTGAATGAAATAGTTTTAGAGCTGGAAGAGGACGACGAAGAGGAAGTGCCTGATTCTATCATTGTTTTGCCACCTGAAAATTGCAACGCTGATGTTACTGACGAGGATTCAGGTGATGAAAACCAAGTAACTTTGCNCTTCAAATCAGTTGCCCAACATCCTGGGGTTCGGGCCTACCACCTTTTATGGAATAGTTCCTTGTAGGTACTCTTCCCACTGATGTTAAAAGTGAATAAGGGGTACCTATCCATCGGTATTCGGTATCCGTCTGGGGGGGGGGGCTGGGGACCTCCATGATGATGACTGCTGAACATAGTCCTCCCCCAATGATTTATATTAACCGGTTGGTAGCGGCCTGCTTACAGCGCCTTCCTTTATGAGGTTTTCACTCTCCCTTGTGGGTTCAATTTCTATATTAGTCGTAAAAAGACAAAACTATTAGAGAACACATTAGAATTTAACTTTACAAGTCAAAGGTTATGAAAATTCATACTTATGGACAAAAAACCACGTGGGCGAATCAGACGCAAGAAGCTAGTATTTTAATTATGTATTAGTCACGACATGAAATCACACTTTTAAGTGTGACCTGTGGTGTGACGTTTGTTATCAGTGACGTAAAAATTAAATCTCTACATAATGGTACAACTGCAGATTTTTTCTAACAACGCTATTTTTCTTTTTGAAACTAGATGTCAGGAAAAGGGTCACTCGATCCCACTAAACGGGACTATTCCCAAGTCTTGTTCCCACCGCAGCAACTCCTGTGTAGGATCCAGGATCTACAGCTTGACCGCCAATAAAACCCAACAGTGAAGGTCAAGTTTGTCCCGGGGAATGATAAACTGTCATTCGACCCGCAAAATAAGGTGACAAAATAAAGGTTTAAGACGTAAGTAGGTACGTCTTACGTCTTAAACCTTTATTTTGTCGACCTGACTTTGTCCTCGGTAAGCCATCGTTTGTTCGTTCGTTTCAGCCGAAAGACGTCCACTGCTGGACAAAGGCCTCCCCCAAGGATTTCCACAAAGACCGGTCCTGCGCCGCTTGCATCCAGGTACCTCCCGCGACCTTCACCAGATCGTCGGTCCACCTAGTGGGAGGCCTGCCCACGCTACGTCTTCCGGCTCGTGGTCGCCACTCAAGAACTTTCCTGCACCAGCGGCCATCAGCTCTTCGAGCTATGTGCCCCGCCCACTGCCACTTGATTTTAGCGATTCTGCGGACTATGTCAGTCACTCTGGTTCTCCTACGGATCTCCTCATTTCTGATTCGATCACGCAGGGAAACTCCGAGCACAGCACGCTCCATCGCTCTTTGGGTGACCTTGAGCCTTCTTATGAGGCCCATAGTAAGCGACCACGTCTCAGATCCGTACACCATCACTGGCAACACACACTGGTCAAATACTTTTGACTTGAGACACTGCGGTATTTCGGACGTGAGAATTTCGCGAAGCTTCCCGAACGCTGCCCAGCCGGTAAGCCATATGAGTCGGGAACGCGGGACATCACTATCGACGTTGACTATCTTGGCCTTTCCTGGACTAACTAGGCCTTTCCTGGACTAGCTTTTCCTTTTCTGGACTAACTAAGCTCTGGTTCTACTGGCGGTCAAGCTGACCAGCCTACATATCAGTTTTGATACTTAGAATGTGACTGGGAAAGTTCGGACTTCCAGAAATTCCAGAAATGGCACGCGACAAAATAAAACAAAGAATTTGAAGCTCTTGATACATTGTAATAATTTATTTGTATGTGTATAAGGCAAAGAATACAAATGTGTTAAATAAACAGGAAAGTAAATAAATGCACAGTTTGGAACAGTTATAAGCGTGTAAAACCCAGAACAGACGGTGAAACGCAACTGCAACGAAACTGCAACTGCTAGTTACTTTTGAGTTGCATCTAAGTTTCTGCCCTAGCGTCCGTTGAGAAACCACACATGACGCGACCAGTTTGAAACTTTCAGTTTTAGTTTCATTCATGAGAATCATCACAAAGTTGCAGTTTCGTTGCAGTTGCGTTTCACCGTCTGTTCTGGGCCTAAGGGTTAAGAAATTCTGCAGAAACATTTGTAATATCGTGAAAATAAAGTAGCACAAAGCACTTCATGGGGCGCTAGTCGGCGCCTTTTGTGGCAATTTTTCGACGATCTTATTTTCGTAACAAAATATTTGTTTTAGATTTAGACTACAATTCAAGATATATTTTATCAAATAAAATAAACAATCCAATTATTAAAGTATAAAAGTGAATACTATCAGATACAATCATAACTTTAGTTTAGTTAGCCATTGCGCATCTTTGATTTTAGTGTAGACTCTTAGTTACTTAAACATGTCGGAAGACGAAAGTACACGTGCTAAAGTTGGCCACACTCGTGTGCAGTGGTTTTATGCAGCTTTTGGTAAATAATTTAAATCTTATTTGCAAAGAGTGAACTAAAGAGTAAAATAGAGCAGGGTCCTGCAGTGAAGACTTTGTAACTTTATAATTTGTTATTAAAAGTTAAATTATGATTTTAACTCTTAATAACAATAACAGGTCGTCGGTCCAACTTGTGGGTGGACGTCCTACGCTGCGTTTTCCATTCCAGAACCTTGCTGCCCCTTCGGCCGTCAGTTCTGCATACTATGTGCCCTGCCCACTGCCACTTCAGCTTGCTAATCCGTTCGGCTATTATGACAGCGACTTTAGTTCGTTTACGGATCTCCTCATTTCTGATTCGATCTCGTAAAGAAATACCCAGCATAGCCCTCTCCATAGCACACTGTGCAACTTTGAGCTTCTGTATAAGGCCTATAGTGAGAGGCCACGTTTCCGAGCCATAAGTCATCACAGGTAACACACATTGGTTGTAGACTTTCGTCTACAAAGGTAGCAGGAAGGCGCTGGATGAAGGCCGCTACCAACCGTGCGATGTGGAAGTCATTGGGGGAGGCCTATGTTCAGCAGTGGACGTCCTGTGGCTGAAATGATGAACAATAACAAGTACCAGGTAGCCAGAAGTAATGATGGGTTTCCTTGCAGCGTCCACTACTCTCATGACGTACGGGCTGCAGGCTGGATGGATATCCCCCATGATAAAGGTACTGCAGTCCGACGACTCTCCAACCGGCCCCCTGACGGACACTCAATTGTCCTGGGTGGGCAGTGTCCTGCCGCTGACAGGTACCTTCTGTGTGGCTCTGTACGCGTACATAGCTGATGCGTACGGGAGAAAATTTGGAGTCATAGCCATTGCTGCACCTCAAGCGGTAAGTTAAAGAGTAGCTAAATGCTTTTCAAATCAAATCAAATCAAATCAAATCAAATTCGTTTATTTGTGGAACATAGGTAAATAACATATTACAGGTGTTAAAAATTAAGTCGGTATCACTATGTTTGGCCCAAGGTCGGCGTACAAATTTACATAACATCATTTTATTTTAGCTTTGCGCTTGAAAGACAATCCCAAATACTGAAGTATCTGCTAAAACTAGAATTTATTGTCATACGGTTGAACGCTTTTTTCACCGAGCTAATAGTGATATGGGGTCCAAAATTGAAGTAATTTTTGTTACTTTGTAAAGCCTGGTCCGTGAGCACGTAGAATTTTGGCCAATGACCCCAAGCTCCCCATCCTTATCGCCCGCGCGTAATTATATTACTGTCGCGACTGTACGACGAGCGCCCGCAGTGAGTGTGCGAGCACGACAGCAACATAATTACGCGCGAGCGATAAGGATGGGTAGCTTGGGGTCATTGGACAAAATTCTACGTGTTCACGGACCAGGGTTTAGTAGGTACAATACTTTTGTGCATCTGACATCAGAAAACAAGAACCGTAACGTTGAAGCATGTTTAAAATAAAAAAAATCTTTAACTTCTCATTGAGGTNCTATAGTGAGAGGCCACGTTTCCGAGCCATAAGTCATCACAGGTAACACACATTGGTTGTAGACTTTCGTCTACAAAGGTAGCAGGAAGGCGCTGGATGAAGGCCGCTACCAACCGTGCGATGTGGAAGTCATTGGGGGAGGCCTATGTTCAGCAGTGGACGTCCTGTGGCTGAAATGATGAACAATAACAAGTACCAGGTAGCCAGAAGTAATGATGGGTTTCCTTGCAGCGTCCACTACTCTCATGACGTACGGGCTGCAGGCTGGATGGATATCCCCCATGATAAAGGTACTGCAGTCCGACGACTCTCCAACCGGCCCCCTGACGGACACTCAATTGTCCTGGGTGGGCAGTGTCCTGCCGCTGACAGGTACCTTCTGTGTGGCTCTATACGCGTACATAGCTGATGCGTACGGGAGAAAATTTGGAGTCATAGCCATTGCTGCACCTCAAGCGGTAAGTTAAAGAGTAGCTAAATGCTTTTCAAATCAAATCAAATCAAATCAAATCAAATTCGTTTATTTGTGGAACATAGGTAAATAACATATTACAGGTGTTAAAAATTAAGTCGGTATCACTATGTTTGGCCCAAGGTCGGCGTACAAATTTACATAACATCATTTTATTTTAGCTTTGCGCTTGAAAGACAATCCCAAATACTGAAGTATCTGCTAAAACTAGAATTTATTGTCATACGGTTGAACGCTTTTTTCACCGAGCTAATAGTGATATGGGGTCCAAAATTGAAGTAATTTTTGTTACTTTGTAAAGCCTGGTCCGTGAGCACGTAGAATTTTGGCCAATGACCCCAAGCTACCCATCCTTATCGCCCGCGCGTAATTATATTACTGTCGCGACTGTACGACGAGCGCCCGCAGTGAGTGTGCGAGCACGACAGCAACATAATTACGCGCGAGCGATAAGGATGGGTAGCTTGGGGTCATTGGACAAAATTCTACGTGTTCACGGACCAGGGTTTAGTAGGTACAATACTTTTGTGCATCTGACATCAGAAAACAAGAACCGTAACGTTGAAGCATGTTTAAAATAAAAAAAATCTTTAACTTCTCATTGAGGTTAATTAGAAACAATAAGTATTGAACAAGTCTATGTTCAGCAGTGGACGTCCTGTGGCTGAAATCATGAAGCCCAAATCTTTAAGTTTACTTGCTTGGCAAAACGTAACTTGGTTTCTCGCGATACAGGTGCATACCTAGTGCAAGAACCGCTACCAACACTTCTTCACAATCCACCATAGCATGTAATTAGCTTAAGACTGTCATTCCGTCTTTTGTAAATCCTTTTTGCATAAATAAAGATTTATTTATTGTTATATAATTACTTCCTTAACTTTGACAGATATGCTGGGCAATAAAACTGACAGCGACCAACCCGACAATACTCATCATAGCCAGGGTCATGGCAGGCATACCCGCTGGGGGATGCTTCAACCTAATCCCTATGTACGTGAAGGAGATTAGCCAAGATGACATCAGAGGGTCCGTGGTCTCCATGTCGTTGCTGATGCAGAACTTTGGACTGTTATTCATGTACGCCATGGGAAGCTACTTGGGGTATTACACGGTGCTGTATATAGTGATTGGCATACCGATTGTGACAGTGGTGGTGATGCTGTTTGCTCCAGAATCGCCTGCTTTTTTGGTTAAGCGGGAACGGTTCGAGGTGAGATAGAATAGAATAGAATAGAAAAGGTTTATTAACACAGTAAAAAAAGACACAATACAAAAAAAAACAACAAAAACACATAATATGTAGGCTATTAAAACAAGAAGTGAGAAAAAACTGTGCCAATAGGCACCCGCTCAGCATTTATCGTGACATGCTCAAAAGGGCAAGTCACGAAGCTGGTCTTCCGCGGACGCCCTTGCTTATTGCGCAACCCTTGGAGAGAGAGATATGAATACAAAGAGATGATTTTGTGTATGAAATTGCCAAAACCGAAAAGTGTGACCTAATATTGGAATTTCGATTTTCAGGAAGCTGCTCAGACAGTGGCAAGACTCAGAGGCTTAGACGTTGATAGCAAAATTGTCAAAAATGAAATGGATCATATGAAGAATGAGGAGGAAAAATATAGGTCTCTACCTACAGTAACATTTTTGAATATTTGTAAGTATTCATTTGTTCTATTTAGAAAACCAAGAGAGCACAATCAACCTTTTGTCCTCATAGTAGTAATAGTATTAAAAGTTCTTAAAAACAGGAGGTTTTTGCTATTATCTGTTCAGCAGTTGTTCCAAAGGAGTTTATATATCATTAAAATACCAAGGTTTTGCTGACGACACATTTATTTCTTAATATGACCCTTGTGACCTTTATCAATTGTGGATTTGCTTCCATTAGTAATAGCAGAATACTACAAAACATGTGTCTTCATTTTTCAGTCAAGAACAAGGCATGGCGTCGCGGCTTCTTCCTAGTCATGGCTTTACTATCAACTCAGTCACTCAACGGCAACTTCACCATCCTGACGTACGCGTGGACCATCTTGTCAGAGTCAGGAGTGACAGCCAACCCGGAGCTGACGTCACTGGTCGTGCCCGTGCTGATGATTTGCGGATCCATAGTGTCGATGATGTGTGTGGAGAGGTTTGGGAGAAAGGTTGGCATTCTTTTTTATATCATCATCAGATGATTTAGACTTTAGACTTCACTGTAGGATAACGACCCAATCCTTAGACCAGAGGCAAAGAAGGCTACGTCTTATAAGATGGGTTTAATGAAATAGTGGGTGATGGTAAGCGTTCACCGCCATCAATTGCTATTCACAATGCAAGAAAATTGTCTTTGTGCTGCCGGATTTTTTTATGAATTCGCGGAATTTGGGTAGGTTTTCTTTAATAACTGCCCCAATGTTGTATTTTGTAGGAAACGCCGATGAAAGTCCACAACAGGGCACGACATTTTTTCATGATCGTAGTAATCGTACCGTACCTAGTGATCATCAGCTATCTAAATGATGACACTTTTTTCTAATGCCTAACTTATTTGAAAATTGCATAAAATGTATTACTCATAATTATCTAATTCTTGATAATTATTACGGGCAATGGTAGTCCACAAATGAGTTGGACAAGGTAGGACATTTGACATTTTTCATGGATTGAGAACGGTCTTCAGCTTATCTAGAATTCTGGATGATGAGGGTGAAACTTCTTCCTATTGCCCAACTTAATTGAAAAGTGCATAATTAGTTATTACTCATATTCCTTGATATTTATTACTTGCGAAGTTGGTCAAGCTAAATAAGTCGAATCCTCGTTCCAATTTACAGAAGCTCCTGATCGCCACCTTCTCCATAACCGTGGTCGCAATGATCACCCTTGCCACCACGCAGCTTCTCCGCTCCCAGGGTTGGATTCCACCCTCTTGGCTGCCAGTGATAGCCATAGCAGCTTCAGTTTGGGCATACTCTGCAGGCGTCACTCCGATGGTCTTCGTCATCATGTCCGAGATGTTTAGCTTTCAGGTGAGTCATAGTCAAAACTTATGATGTAATCTAACTTTGCATTAGCTAGGTACTTCAATTTTTGCTCAAAGCATCTGAAACGCATCGATTCCTTAAAAGGAACTACAATTTACTTACTAAAACCTCAGTTTCTCAAGTCTGCGAGTACGAAGCGATTCATCTGGATAGCAAGGAGCCTTTTCCAAATTTTTTGACAACGCAAATTCGACCATTCAAGTTTTAACCTAATGTTGAGTTGGAATGAGATTTGTCTCACGGTGTACCTGAACGGACCTCTAACTAAAACGTCATGCATTCCTTTCGTAACGTTCACTGAAGCAGTTAACACAAGGAACTTCTAATTTTATTCCAGGTGCGAGCAAAGCTCATCGGCTGCTTGGTGACGTACGCCTGGTTCATGTCCTCAACCCAAGTGTCCGTCTGCACACCCATCGCAAATGCTTTCGGCATGTACACCCTTTTCTACATATTCGCGGCGATCAACGTTTTAGGAGCTGTTCTTACCTGTGCGGTCATTCCAGAGACAAAGGGCAGGAGCATAGAGGAGATAGAGCAAATCTTGACGGCTAAATAGACTGGCTAGTTGAAATAATTGGATAAAGATTTGTGACCGAGGCCTTTGGATGGTTTGATGATAGTTCACTGATAGTCTGATAGCCAATGGCAAGATTATAGTGAATGCTCAACAATTTGTGATTTGGTTTATGATGATTAAGGATAGATGTCTTCATCTTCAACATCATAACGATAATACTGTCAATGTCGTGAAAATCATGAAAGTAGGAAGTAGGAAAGGGTGTGACGGGATAGTAAAATTTTCTAGTTCAATTTAACATAGGTAATATTAGATTATTAGAAGCTTATGAGCGTAAAATACCTAGTTAATCATTCCAGTTTAGCAAATATACAATTAGATACAGAAACGATCTCATTACTCATACACTAGTTAAATACCTAATTTATTTATTTTATGTAATTCTTCTAGCTAGGTATATTACTTACTTATTGTATTACTTTGTATATTTATGAGTAAAAAATAAAGTCACTACTAATGATACAAAAGTAATGTTTTGTAGAAAAATAGAAACATTTGATAAATAAAAACAGTCTGTCGTCGCTACGGCATACAGGCAGCTCGCTCAATAGACAGTTAAGGAAGTCCTTGCGACATGATATTCGCAACTTTAATACTATCAGTATTAAAGAGGCGATAGAGCGGAACCAAGGCTCCAAAGTGTTCGCAAGAGACAAGTCTATTGGGCAAAGCCAGCTGACGAAGCTAACGCGGCGGACGGTAGTGTAACGCCAACAAAAGCCGAGGTTTTGGGTGAGATTTTACGTATGGAAGTGACTAGCGATTCCTCAAAGGGAGTCTATGGAAATAACTTGTAATATAGTCTACCCTATTAAAATGGCATATGCTCTCAGAAGCATTTGGCTGTAGTATACTCATACTTACAAATCCTCCAAATTACGTAATACTAAAATTAAGTTCATACAAAAAAAAAATCTTTATTTACAAAACATGATTTAAATCTATTGATTCTATTGTTTTAAAAAAGTAGTCAATAAACTTAGCACTTATAGTTCCAAAATACTGAACTGTCCTATGCATGACATTGACAGTGGGGCGCCACCGTCAATACCGGATCGCTGGTTCCGATTTTTGCCATGTTGGAAACCATATAGTTGAACGATGGTAGCCCCCTGTCATTGAGTTTGGTGGGACAGGTCAGCGTGGGTCATCTATACTCATTTAAGTACTTACAAGAAGATATTTTGTACCATGTAGGTACTAACACCATTATTACTTCTGATCTAATGTATTGTTTTTGACTCTGATAAGTCAGTACAATTTTTAACAGAATGTTATTCTTGTTTATTGATTCACGCCCGTATTCACAAACGTTACTATGAGGTCTCACAGTGCACGTGGACGCTCAAGGTGACACACGAACCAATCACAGAGCTCTTTTCAACGTTGTACGTTCGATTTGCTGCTTCACTTAAGCAAGCATCGTTTGTGAATATGGACATAAGTCAGTGTTTATTGATTCTCACTCTCCTCTTCATATTATTTGAATTCTTCTGTGACAGATCGAAATTCACACTTTTCTAAATAAGACCCTGATCTATATTCCTGATATAATACAAATTAAATAGGTAGGTACTAGGTACAACTATTTGTAATATAAAAATCCCCTCTCGTACATGCCCTGTATCTCTTCTAGCCTAATCCCTTTGGTTTCCTTCGCCGTCAAAAAGGTCAGCACAGTAGCTGCCGCAGATATGACACAGAACATCAGGAATGTTCCGTCAAGACCCAGGTGGTCCACAAGAAGACTGAATATTGAGAGCAAAGCGAAGTTGCTGAAGCAAGTGCTGCTCATGACGATGGAGGAGGCTAAGCTCTTCACCTGAAAGAAGAAACTGTATTGAATTACTTAATTAGGAGGTAAAAGGAATTATACAAGAAGGAAGTTTCCAAATTCTGCAAAAGTTAAAAAAAATAATCAAAAATCAAAATTATTTATTCAGTTTAGACCACAAGTGGCACTTGTGAACGTCAAATATAAAAAAGAAAAGGTAACCCTTATGGGGCACTTTACATGTCTCCTTATCTTTTAAAAGTTAAAAGGCAAAACATCATGATTCTGAAACTTATTATCCCACCGAAAACATTTTTCATGCTAAATGTTGCCAAGACTCTTCTTGGGTCTGGTCTTGGTTGATATACCTTAATGCGAAACATTATCAGATCTCATGGTAGAGACAAGCTTCTAACTTTGCATACCCTAACTCTACAAGCTTTAACTTCTCAAATTCTACAAATATTAGATGGCTTGGCATTCTTGCTATGGATAAAGAATGTAGGTATTGTTGACTGTTCAATCATTATTTCTTGTAGGTCTAAGTTGTTGAACTTACCTACTGCAAGGGCTTATTTTATGAACTGGCCGGCCGCGACTTCGTAGGCGTGGATCCCGTTTTACCCCCTTAGGGGTGGAGTTTCATAAAATCCTTTCTTAGCGGATGCCTAATTGCCTACGTCATAACATCATTGCATGCCTTTCAGCCCGATCCGTCCAGTGGTTTGGGCTGTGAGTTGATAGATAACTATGTCAGTCAGTCAGTCACCTTTGAGTTATACATATTTATGTTTAAATACCTACTCTCTAGTTTTATCGTCATACCTTTGGCGAGAAAGATTCTGACAGCTGCACCAACGGCACGTTGTTCACTCCTGCCTGGAAGGCACAGGAGTAGAGCAGCATCACCAATGGAACTGCCCATGCTGGACTGCCTGACCAGCGCAGAAGGCCGACCAGAACGCCGAGGCAGATAGTACAGATGGCGCAAGTAGATATTAGCAACAACTGGAATGCAGATTATATTATCCTTCTAAATAAAACAAGTGGGCGGGCTAAGAGGAGAACCAAAGTGACCGACATAGCTTGCAGAATTGCTAAAATCAAGTGGCAGTGGGCGGGGCACATAGCTCGTAGAGACGATGGCCGTTGGGGCAGAAAAGTTCTCGAGGGGCGACCGCGGGCCGGAAGACGTAGCGTGGGCTTGGCTTCCAGTAGGTGGATCGACGTTCTGGTGAAGGTCCCGGGAAGAGCCTAGATGCGGGCAGCGCAGGACCGGTCATTATGGAAATCCTTGGGGGAGGCCTTTGTCCAGCAGTGGACGTCATTTGGCTGAAAAGTTCGAAAGCAATAGTCATAACAATAACGGCATTACTGCTTTGGCAGTTAAGAGATAAGATAGCCAGTTCCTCTGTGGTGGAGGATTCTGGGTGAAGCTCGCTTCCACCTTCGGCCTGTTCCTCACTTTCCATCTGGTGAGATACAGGCCAAGAGCTTCATAAACAATTTCTCTGTAGCTTACTGGTTAGAACAGTCACCCAGTAAGAAAGATAGTGGATTCAAGATTAACCAGGGGCAGTCAAAATATTTTTAAGTAAATCATAATGAAGAATATAATTGTTAAGGCTCCAATAACTATGTATATTGTCTGCTCAAAACCTACCCGTCTCCCAACCAAATCCGTGCACAGTACTGCCAGAATGTTCCCGATCACGATCGCCACAGCCAAGATGACTGAACATAAATGCGGGGATAGATCTGGTGCTGCTGCCAGGAAGAAGTGGACGGCATATGCTTGCACCGCCATAGCTCCCATAAATGCTGTGATGATGACGTGGGCAGTCAGCGTGATGATCGCTCGCTGGGTCGGCTTCGATGTCCCTGGAAGAAAAATCTGGGTTTATACATGAATCTGGGTTAAGATAAACACACGTAGAGTTCTAAAGAGTTCGGTCATTTAAGGCTGATTAGTAAAATGCTGTAAGACATAAGTACCTACCGCCAACTATACATAGGTAGGCAATATTAGTAAGTTTCAGATGAAAGAATATTTTTCAAAAAGATCTTACGGGAGTACGGGACTATTCCCACCTCTCGTTGTCACCGCTGCAACTCCTGTGTAGCCGGGATCTACAGCTTGACCCCCAATAAAAACCTAACCAGTGAAGGTCAAGTTTGTCCCGGGAGAAAGTTAACTGTTATTGGACCGTCATCTAAATTAATCAGAAGAACATAGGAGGAGTTCGAAGTCAAGAGGAGAAGGATGAGTCAATAAGATCTATAATGATGGTACTCGTAGATACATACTCAGTATCTTCCAAGGAGAAATATCATCGGCGCTGCCTTCTTTCTCTTTCTCACAGCCAATGTGTTCTAGGATAATATTGTCATCCTTGTTTACTTCTGCAAAAAATATGTAAAAAAACAAGGTTATTTCTGTAATTGATTCAATCCACTATGTTAATTCGACCAAGGACACTGCTGAACAAAGACCTCCCCCAAGGATTTCCACAACAACCGGTCCTGCGCTGCCCGCATCCAGGCGCTTCCCGTGACCTTTACTAAAGCCCGGTCCGTGAGCACGTAGAATTTTGTCCAATGACCCCTAGCTACCCATCCTTATCGCTCGCGCGTAATTATTTGCTGTCGCGACTGTGCGACTGGCACCCGCAGTGAGTGTGCGAGCGCGATAGCAACATAATTATGCGCGAGTAATAAGGATGGGTAGCTTGGGGTCATTGGACAAAATTCTACGTGCTCACGGACCAGACTTTAGATCATCAATCTACCTAAAAGTAGGCCTGCCTACTCTACATCTTTCAGTCTGGGAGATTAAAGCATCCTCAATATTCATTCATGTACCCAAGTACGTAATATTCGGGAAGGGAAAACACTATAATAATTATGCTAAAGAATTTCTTGCTGATTAAATACATTTCTGCTCATACTGCTACGGTCTAAGAACTTACTTGTATAACCCTGTCGTTGAGTCTTCAAATACTCGAATTCCTCCAAAACTGCCGTCGTAGTTTTAGACGTGCCACGATAAAACTTAAGTGACGTCAGAGCTTCCTAAGTATTAACAAAACGTGAACGCAGATAATTACTTTTATCAGATTCTGATTTCCTACATAATTATGGCTTTAAGATAATAAGTTGAGCCTAAATTAAATACGTAGGTAGTTGCAGATGTAATAAAAGAGCGTTTACATTATAAAAGCCACGTGCAGAAGCTAGCAACTAAAAATATACAGGATGGAATTTTGTAATACCGCCTGGAGGGAAAGTACTCTTAATATTGTAGATAGAAAATTATTTTCAAAGAAAACATTCCTTTATTTTTGAAAATAAATAGAACTGCATTTAAAGATTTCCAAAAATTTGCTTGCTACACCCGGGAATCGAACCAACTAAAATCTGTTAAAAATTACACCCTGTATTTTTATTACATGGATCGTTAGGGTTAAGTATAAAGATGAAATCTCTCTAACAGACTTGATATATTATCAAATGAAAGGAAAACCATGAAATCTTAAAGTATTTTAATTATGCACAGAAAATTGTATGGTATGGTAGTGAATTTTCGAAAAATTTTCGAAAATCTTTGAATGCAGTTCTCTTTCTTTTCAAAAATAAAAGAATGTTTTCTTTCAGTAAAATTTTCTATCTACAGTATTGAGAGTACTTTCCCTCCAGGTGGCATTACAAAATTCCACCCTGTAGAGCTATTAATTTTAATGAAGCGATCCTAGACACTTTGTAACTTCATTGTTGGCAAAATTTACTGTTAGTTTCGTTAACATTCCAGTATTTTAAGTAAATAAGTAGCACTGACCCATTTATTGTCCCGAAGCAGTGGTAGGGTTAATATTGGGACGTGTAAAAGTGCTTTTTAAAAGCCTATTTGCAAAAATAAATGAGTTTTATGAGTTTTTTAGCTATATTTGAAATTACTCTTTAATCAAATTTAATTGAAGAGGTAACAGGCAACAGATGAAGCTCAATTTCGTAATTTAAACTTACCTTAGTTTCATTCTTCGTGATCAAATACACTGGGCTCTCCTTCATAAGAGTCAGTAACAAAACAAACAGCACACACACTGACAGATTCAGATAGATGATGACGTCATAGCTGCACACCCATCCGGTGATGTAAGACACCAGAGCCCCAATGGAGAATGTGAAGAGCGGTATCGAGGCCATAGTCCCCCTGATGAAGGCCTGGCAGATCTCATTGATGTAGGTAAAGACCACCACCAAGTGGATGCCGACTCCGTAGCCCAGTATGAATCGAGCTATGATTATTTGGGTGACGGAGTGGGCTGACGCGATTAAGGCCCAGGAGAGCTGAAAAATACATATTTATTAAGGGTTAGTTGAAATTCCAAATATATCTTGACAACTTTATGGAACCAGAAGGTCATCATGGAGTACCCCACCTCATTTGGGTTGGTAACATTAAAAAAACAAGAGAAGAGTGGATAAATAATAAAGTAATTTCGTCATGTCTCGCCAGNGAGCCATAAAGAAGAAAAAAAAAAAAAAAGGTGGCGAACTTTTTTTTTAAATTCAAAACAAGCCAGGTGTTTGACCACAATCGCACCTACCTGATGTTAAGTGGGATGCAATCTAGGATTACAGGTAGATTAGGTACATTTCTGCCCTGTAAGTGCTTATTCACTCTCGCCTTGAAAAGGCCCGGATTATATACTCAACATCAAATAAACAGCACCTTTCGCGACGCGAACTTTAAAGATTTTCTTCTGACACAATCATGGTGCCCCAACAATATTGGTGTTATTTGAAAGCCCAATCTGGATCCTTCTAAAGACACATTTTTGGGGTAAAAACCTTTCCTTTAATGAAATGAAGATTAGAACTAGGTTTTTAAATGGTGCCAATATTGATGGGAAGTGGGGATGCGTACGTTTGAAAGTACTTGTCGCGGGAGGTGCGATTTATTTGATGTCGAGTGTAGTTTTTGGGAAAGACAGCAGCAGGCAACGAATTCCAATTAAACTATTTGACGCTGATATAACAACGTTACGGAGGATCTATTTGGCCAAAGACATAAGTTAATCCTCCTCCGGAGTCAGAGGTCCCCTACTGAAATGGTGCAAGAACTACATGGAAGATAGGAAATATGTGGTAAAGGTTGGTGAAACGTACAGCCGGCCAATTAGCATCACGGAAGGCACGGCACAGGGTACCGTACTAGGCCCCTTAAATTATCTGACATATGTAAACGACGTTCCGGGAATCGTGACTGAGTGCTCCTTGTACCAATTTGCGGATGATACTTGCATTNATATGGGCATTTCTACAGCACGGTGTTATTTTTCTCAATTCGGTGCTAAAATTAATATTTCGTTTTTTAAGTAGTTTCGATACAAAAAAATAAAGTTTACTCCATTCTAATTGTATAAACAGCATTGTCACTAAATATTGTGAAGTGGTTTATGAGAAAAGTTAAGCACCGAATTGAGAGAGCACCGAATTGTGAAAATGAATCACGGAATTGAGAAATGAATCTCCAAATTTAAAAATCGCTCCGTACACTTAGAATTGATGACATTATGTAGAAATACATAATGTATTTCAATAATCAATATGATAAATACCTGAAACTTTTGATATCTGACTGCTGGTCTTACTTAGATGGTTAATTTTAGGTTTAATTGTGTGAAACATCCATTGGAATTAAACAAAAATCCTAATCAATATGTTTAATTTTTTAATAAGGAACTATGAATCATTCCTAATTTTTATATATTATTTTATTTTATTAAAGTTATATAAAAATCAAATGATATTTAAATAAAATAAATACATAACACAGGGTCTCCTTTTAGTTTATTTATTCTTAACCTAAAACAAAAAACAAATAGGTATAGCAAGACCCAAGAGCTAGATTGACCTGACACTATACCGAAGATATACCGGACGTCAGTTTGTACAAAATTAAAATAGCTCTCAAACAGCAGAAATACAACAAGGCACCGGGTGTTGACGGCATCACGGCTGAGCTTCGCCGGTACTAAAGGCTCTACCGAAGCAGTTTAATTCCGTCATCCTCGAAGGAAAAACGCCTTCAGCATGACACAGAAGTGTGGTGATAGAATTATAGACTCATCTCACTTCTGAGGCGTGTTTACAAGCTGTTTTCGAGAGTCCCTACGAATAATCTCGCTCGCAGACTCGACGACTCACTTCCAGCCTTCCGAAAAGACTTTAGTGTTATGGTACACTCACAGGTACGCTACGGCAGATACAAAAGACCAAGGAGCCAATTCACGGACGATATCGTAGTCATGGCTGAGACCTTGGAAGATCTAGGCACAATGCTCGATGGCTTCCGCAGAGCCTCTCAACAACTGGGTCTCAAAATGAACATGAACAAGACAAAAATCATGTTAAATGTCCGTGTTTCATCCACTCCTCTGAAGGTTGGAGACTCTACACTCGAAGTTGTTGACAATTGTGTATACCTGGGAGGCTGGGACAAAGAGTCTAGATAGGTAGGTCCAACTTTNACTCGTTCAAAGCAAGAATTTATAAATTTGAACTCGAAAGAGCACAGTCGTGCGTCTTAGACAACCACAAAGGACAGTGATATTTTACAGGAACCTCCGGAGTTATTTCGAGCAGAAAAGGGATTTTGGTGTCATTACACAGCTACAACAAAAACTGAATCAGTATTTCATTCATAATAATTTCAGAGTTTGCTGTTGTCGGTGGGACCATATCCTGGGAGGATGGGAGCGTATGGACTCTTCCAGCGTCTTCAAGTTCCTGATTGTTTTCAATTGGTGAACCCTCATATTATTCTATTGCGATTAACTGTCAGTTTCAGTAATTTCGATTTGGCTAAGATTTAGCATCGAGCTGATTTCATGCTAGAGCTGAAATGAACGAACTGACTCCCTGATGAAAAATTGTGGGCTAACAAAGAAAAATCATACCTTTGTAATGGAAATTGCTTGAAACAACAATGAAAAATTTCAACTTCTATTTGGATTTAACATAAAGTTTTTAAATTTTGAAAAGGTTCGAGATTAGTAGGTACCGCTGAAAGTTTCCCGACCGCACGAGGTTGCAATAAGAACGCTCAGAGTCCCGGCGCTACATTAGGAATGTAATACGGCACATACGTAGACATACATTATGGAATTCGTATTACCTGCATTATTTTTGCTTCAAGGAGTTAACACAACATTAAATAAGAAAGCTTATTGTTTTTTAACAATTTATCTTATGTAAATAATTCTTAAACGTCAAGCGCAAGCGATCAGCACTTAATTACTGATGTCCGCTTTGGCATCGCCACATTCGCTAATCGATTCTTGATACCTTCGTTCCCAATATTTAAATACGGAACATCATTTGCCCCAGACAACCTTCTTAAATTGTCTCAGAAGTCGTGCATTAACTGGCAAAGGACTTGGAATGATGTAGTGTTTCTATAAAATCCTATAATTAATTAAAAGTTTTCTTTGCAAATTAAAAGCATTTTGTTCCTTTATACATACCTACCTACTTATAAGTATGTATGCTGAAAGCTAAGAGAACACTTTTGTGGATCCGTTTTCTGTAAATTTACTCATTTATGTTCGTTCTCACAATTTTCCGAGTACACGCTATCTAGCTAGACGGTTGAGTGAAAACGAATGGATCTAAACAGCCTTGTGAAACAAAAAGTAATCAGTTAAAATGTCCCCGGGTGCACGATGTCGACCCGCACAAATGGCCCTACGAGCGCGATTAATGAAAACATTTACACCGGCCCGTTATGAAATAATCCCGGCCCAAAATAAAAGCCAGGCGGTGCGCCACAAAGAGATTACTACGGTGAAAATTTCATGCAAAGCGCTGCAAGAGAGCGACACTCGACACAACACACTGCGCCGGACACTCGCGCCCAATGCTATTTTATGTGGACAGGTACACGCGGCGCTCGTCGACATTCATTTGTCGAATCCATCCTGATATTACTAGAGATATCTAAGTATTAATTATTTATTTATTTAGGACAACCAACAAGAAGCAGATCTAAAAACCTCCTTAAAAACAGAGATTTGCATTTTACAGGTAAATCAGACCGATTTAGCTTCTATCTTAGTGAATTAGCCTACAGACTCACTTTAAATGCCAGTTGCAATTTTTAAATGGTCTATATTTTTAATTGAAACGATACAAACTGTATACGATGGTACGAGTAGGTATGAGCTAGTGAGTGCATCCGCGTATTTGTTTAGCGATGCGTCACCTTAACATTATTTATTGCCACCACGTTACATGAGGTGTCTTTAGTTAGTTTTAATAAAATACGAGTATACTAGGTACTCATAGTTTTCACATTGTATTAAAAAGTTCGATGCTCATACTCAGCTGAGACCCACCAGGGCAGCATTGTATCGGAGTTTCAAGTAAAAGTTACTGTATTGTCTTGAACATTCTCAAGCCACGGGCGCAATAGCAGCTGTTGAAGTTAATGAAAACTTAAAAGACAGCGCCAGGCCGCGCCGCCCGCCCCCCGCCCCCGCACGAGATACGAAAGTAAACGACTCGTGCGCAATGAATAATTCAGGGCGCCGCTGCAGCCGCGGTAATGAACATCTCGGCCGTAATGCATGCGCAACTACACCTACTCCCTTGTACTAAAATTTCACAACATACTACGAGCACAAGAGTGCCGCTAACACTTTTAGAGCTTCGTAAAACGCTCCTGAGACACGACTTCGTGATCGCGTTACTGTGCTATCACAGCTCTTTACTTATCTAGCTTTGACTGAAGTCGACTGAGAACACTCGAAATACTTGATTTGTGGACTTATCTAGGTGGTTTCTTTATTTTTAATCGAGGAGTAAGGTTCTATGTTCGACTGTATGTATTTTTTTTTCTTTGTATGTTTCAAAATTCTTTTTTTTTCGAAGACAAAATATCTTTATTTGTATAGACTAATAAATAGTACTTACAAATAGTCAAATATTTTTCTCTTAAGGAGCCTCTACAATTCTACATGTCTCATAATCTTTTACAAGTGATGATATGATTATTATGATTACAAGTGCTGAGAAGAAGCGCCGCAACAAACTCAGTCCACAACCACTGTCTGCCGGTTAATATAAATATGCGCCGTAAGCCCCAAAAAGCTGGTACTATGGGTACTAGACAACGGATATAAACATACTTAAATACTTTTTGCATTCTTAACATATTCTAAATATACTTAAATTCATCATTTCAATTTCTACCCAGCCGCGAATCGAACCCGGGACCCCTCTGCATAGTAGTCCGCTCTGAACCACTACACCAAACGGCCGACATCTAATGTTGAAGTTTTTAC